TTGCAGAAGTTGATTAATTCCTCAGCAACTTGTATTAACTCTTCTGGAGAATCTGCTCCTCCAAATATGTCGTCGACATATCTGCCTTTTATGATTGTCTGAGTTGCCTCTGGATATTTATGGCCTTCATCTTCTACTAATTGCAGTAACATACGAACTGCTAGATGAGGAGCTGATCTAGTGCCGTAGGTTACTGTTGTGAGTTGATATGGAATGATTTTGTTGTGATTGTCTAGCCAAAGAATTTGTTGAAGCTTCCAGTCTTCATGATGAACCATTACTTGACGATACATTTTTGTTATGTCAGTTGCGAATACGTATTGATGTTGACGAACCTAAAGAAGTACGTCAAAGATGTGTCATTTAATTTTTGCTCTTATATGAGTGATGTCATTCAATAAGATCCCAGTTGAGCTCGGGCTGGATCCATTGAAGGCGACTCTAAGCTTGGTGGTAGTTGATTGTCTGATGATATTTTTCCAGTTGCAGCAGGTTGGCTAGATGAGAAGTGATTAATGTTAGCTCTGATCCAGGATCTATTAGCACTCGGGCAATGTCACTCCTTGAATGTGAATTGGCTCTGACTTTTGCTGTTGCTAACAGCGTTGAATGATTGTCTTGTGGTCATTCTGACCTTTTCATTGTCTTAGATGATTTTGCTGCTTCTGAACTTGTCCTTTGGACCATTCCAACTGAACCCTCAACCCTCCTGAGGCCAAAACCTCATGTGCTAAGTTCATCCAGTCAGTTTGACCCTCCAGAGCAAGTCTATCAGCAAGCTTGAATGGCTGTGAATTGTTTGAATGTTCTTCGAGGACTGCTTCGTCTCCTCACTGCTGTGAAGTTGATTGATTTGTCAAAAACGGAATCTACGCAATCAATTCGATTCTTTTTCTTTTATTAAAAAAAAGTTACTAAACGCGTTACACAGATGGAAATTGACTCAGTGAAATGAAATCAATCCGAATTTTTTTAACGGGACTTTTTTTTTTTCTAACTGATAAAAATGATTACTCATTTACGCGAAAAAACTTGCTAAAATAAGCTCGCATCGTCGCATAAATAGAAAAAATCTAATACGTCCTATATCTTTTGTCAGACTTAATCTCTTTCCCCTGGTGCACTGCAAATTGATTTTCGATTGTTTATGATTCTACAAATTTGTTAACTTATCTCGATGAGCCTTTTCACATATATAAGCCACACAAAAATCGTGACACGTCAGGATACCTTCCTTCTTAGATAATTGATAAAACTACTTAAAAAATTTCGAATATTTCAGACAATTCAAGAACGTTTGAAACAATTCCCAAATATTTCCAAATTTTTTTCACCTTTTCAGAGAATTCGAAAAGATTTTCCTATGTTGAAAATTTCTATGAAAATCTTAACGTTGACCAGATTTTTTTAGAATTTTCTCAAACTATCAAAAATTTCCTAATAATATTTTAGGAATTTCATCTTTCTTAGACTTTTAAATAATTCGAAATAATTGAGAGAAATCCTTAGATATTTTGGAACTTTACTGAAAATTACACAGGATCTTAAGAGCTTATGGAAATTTTCAAAGATTTTCGAACTTTTAAAAGAATTTATCCATATTAATAAAATAGAAATGTCTTTGAGTAATATTAAGAGAGTATCTTAAATCAAGCTTCATCTTTAAAGGAAATCCAAAATATTTCTTTAATATTTCGAGAATTCTAGAACTCTTGATAGAATTTTCAAGTGTTTCATGATTTTTGAAATTTAGAAAGATTTCCGAAAATTTACGTTTTCGAGCATACTAAATCATTCGGGATACATCTAAATGGATCCAAATATTCTGAAGTAAAATATCGAATATTAGTGCTATCCAGCAGCAAGAGTAAAAGATTTTGATTGTTTTAAAAATTACCTATTAGTATCGTTAAAATCATCACCATTAAACTATTATTGTCCTAATAACATGAATTACAATTAATATTAGGAGATCAGACATTTTGCATAAATTGCAAATGCAGCTAGTTGACAATTTTCTTAATTTTTTGATTCTGCGTCGAATGCAATAGTCCTACGTCGATATTATCATTTGTTCTAATGATAAACGAGCCAAACAATAATTCCCAATCCACATGCAGATGTCGACTAAAAACCTGTCGTACTACACTCTAGGAACCTTGAAAGAGGGAAATATGTCAAAATTCGGGATTTGTTAAATCGGACGTATTATTATAACTTTCAACGGGTATATTGAAAATTTTAGAATATTCAACAATTTTATTAGAATTCAAAAAAACATGTTTCTGTAGGTTCAGAACTACAATAGCACTAATAATTAATTAAAAAAAAAAAAAAAAAATTTTAAAAAACAGAATTAGAATGAAGTGAACACGTAGATGAGAACAGAAAAAGAATGACGACAGGAACTTCAGTAGTCAAAATGGACACTGAAAATCACTCAAATGAGTGAATAAAACTATTAATTGTTTGGCCGATTGATTATCGACCTAGGGCTAAGATAGCCGCCGAAGTTCCTGTTAGCGGATAATTCAAACTTAAGAAGTGATTAATTCTCCACAGTTAAATTTTTGTAAATTCTAGAGATAGAAGATATACGAAAATATTACGTAGGTAATGGAAATAAATCGAGATTATAACTTAAAAAAACATACACCTAAATTGCGTTCTTTAAAGCAAAAATGTAGTTGTTACTTTTCTCTAAAGAAATTCTCTAACGCAACATGGATGATGTTGAAAAATTTTAATAATTTTCTATACTGCATAAGTGTATTTCGCACTATTTTATCGGTCTACTCAGTCAGTTTTCTTTTCGAAAATGAAAAAGTTCACCACTAAAATAGTATACGTGTATCACATAAGTGTATGAAATGAGTGAGAAATGCGAAATTTTTATAAGAAATTTTTTAAAGCATAGTACACAATTTATGATTATTTTAACTATTTTCTTTGCTATGTGAATGTATTTTATTGGTCTTTAAGTTAGTTTTCAATTTTTTCTAAATCGAAAAAAGTTTAACACGAGAATGTTTTATAAAAATCGTGAAAAATTTGATATATCCATATAGGACATTATTCAAAGCAAAATATATAATTTATAGGAACAACTTTTAAAATTCATGAAATAAATGAACTACAAAACCCACATAGTACACAATTTTTCTAATGTACATGTATAGAATAAATGGGATATCAATTGCATAACATACAACAATCACTATATTAATATTTTAGATTTCTTTTTATCGTGAATTTATTAACTTTCCATTAGGAAGTTATTGTAATTGGGTCGATTGGTAAAATTTGAATTTCCATAAAATCTCCACGTTTCAAGATATTTGCAAGCATACTGCCATATTTTAAAATGATGTGTGTATGTATGTATGTATGTATGTATGTTTTGTTGAGCCGTTTTTTTATAACAAAATAACTAATAAAAAAATGAAAAGAGTAACTATTTAAAATACTTCCAAGCCAAACAATAACAATTTCATTTGAAAATTAAGTCGATATTGACTAGACATTATTGTTCACAGCTGAATATGACTCTTAACAATTACGCATTGTTTATAACAATATAAATTCGTTATAAACAGTTGAATATTGTATTTATCGATTAACTGATGCGTATATCACATGGATTCGGATGCTTTGAACAAAATAATATGACTAATGATGAGATATGACTCTCAACAATTAAGCACTGTTTGAAACAATATGATTTTATGATGACAAGATTTTTTAAGGCTTTTCAGTATCAATTTTCCATCTAAAAAAATTGCCTTGCTTGCTTCAAAAACTGATATTATTGGCGGTCAATCTTTAAATGGTTCATCAAGGCTCTTTAGTCAAATCACATATTTAATTAAGTAACACTTGTTTTATATTCTTTACCTCCTACTTGCAATCACGCTACCTCATGAAACACTACGCAGCTACTCCCACTCTTCTCGAAACCGCTCCGACTGATACAAATTCATTTCTACTATGTGATGGAGATAGAAGTAGAGTCCATCAAAGTTACAGCATTCTACTTGCAATTGAATAAAGGCAGGAATAACAATTCATGCTTAAAACAATGACCCATGTTTATTCAGTTTAAACACGAGTTCGCAACAGACTATCGAGTTTTCTATCATGGTATATATATTATTTCAAAAAGACGTTGACTTTACAAATAGCTTCGAGATTTTTGACTTATTATTTTGTTGATGAGAACTATCCCTTTCATGTTGGTGACACCGTAGTCTGTAGGTATCTTACTCACTACGCACTAATGTCACCGGCACGTAATTACTTTCCTACTTGTTTCTACTAATATGTGTAGAAATGGTACAATTGCCTTAAAGTACTTTAAAAGGTGTTACAATAGGCGTTGAGTATCAATTTATTCTCTCCACGACAAATAATAAAGTTCCATTACATATATCATATACAGATAATTTATTACTTATTAGTAAAATTTTTTAGGTAACATTAAATGGGTAATTATGAACTTTCCGACCCCACTTTCCTTACTTGATGTGCACAGTTCCATACAGGCGCACTTTTCGGAAAAAAAGAATTTTTCTTACGACTAGAACGCAAACCTGGATCTCTCAAGTTTTTTTGTTCGATGTTCCAGCATTTCAGCTATCGCAACAAATTTAATTTTTATATTCCTCCACATACTTATACCCATTATGGTCCGACGTCCCTCTTACAGCCTCAAATTAAATTAAATTAAATAAATCACTAAATTAGAACATAGTGCCCTGGGTCAATAAGTAAATAATTACCTAAAGAATATTACGAATTCAACATTGAGGAAATAATTGGTAAATTATGAAAAATTTTTTTGATTTGCAGTATGTTACAAGATAATCGAACATACGGAATATTCCTACAATGGAAAAATAGTTACTAAAACAATTTAATATAGAGAAAAAAATATTAATTACTGCCTAAAATTAACTGTTTAAAATTTACTGAAAACATAGTAATGAAATTTATTTCTGCAGGTTGTCTGGTTTACTGCTCTTTTTCCTTATGTTGTACTTCTTATTCTTCTTATCCGAGGAGTCACCCTACCAGGAAGTGCAAAAGGAATAAACTATTATCTAAGTCCTAATTTCTCAGCAATAACAAAAGCCGAGGTGATGTAACTATATTTTAAAAAGATTTTTTTATATCGTACTATAAAAGATTTTAATAATGTATAATGTTTAAAACTGTGCATACTTGAATATATGATAACGAGTTTAACATGCAGAAAACAATATTAACTTTTATTTACATCTCCGAGATATGAAAGTTGTTCTACTCACCATGATTTTTATTCATTAAGAGAACTTCACAAATGATTTTAAACATACATAAATCCAGCTTTCTATGCTCAATAGTCAATATTAGCATGTATTTTACCAACATGAGCCGTGCTGGAACATGTCAATATACGCACTGATTCAAATGTCATTATACTACATTATACAAAATGTATGACCATAGCAATACTTATTATAGGCTTAATAAATTGGAATTCCATTGTTAGAATCTGTTTAGAAAATCTCAACGTTGAATAACCTAATCGTTTAAGGATAGGGATGATTGTGCCGGAATAGAGCAAACGGAAGTTAGGTTTTATGAAAAATATAATATCTTTATTTTCAGCGCTAACAGGTACACAATATACACTAAATGACCTTTTGTCACTGAATACAAGAAATGAATTCCTTTAGAAATCACTGAATATCAATTGTAATTACTGCATTTACATTGAATGTCTAAAAAATATTCAACTTGGTGTGTTCGGTATTATTGACCTTCCACACGAGCTCAGCACGCTTCTCAGGTTGAGCAAGAATATGATTGTGCATGTGGCGTTAGCCTATCAATGCAAGGCAAAATGAATCTAATTCAAGCAGTTGAATTCACAGTGAATTGTCTTAAATTATCAATTGATTTAGTTGTAAAATGAAAAAATGGATGTCTCTGTCGTTTCAGAATGACACTAGCACTCATGATTGACTCGATCAGGGAAGATTTTAGAGGGATGAAATAGAATGGCGTGTATACGTGAATGAGAACAGAAAAAGAATGACGACAGGAACATCATTGGTCGAGGTGGAGACTGAAAATTAGTCAAATGAGTGACTAGTTTAAGAATTATTGATTATTTGGTCGATTGGTTATCGACCCAGTCCCAGGATGGCCGTCGAAGTTCCTGTCAGCTGGCCAATTCAAACTGAGAATGAATTAATTCTCAACAAACTAAATACTGCATTATTCTTTGAGGCCGCCAATCATAATATTCAAAACCTACATTCTCTGTTTTTGAATTCGAATATTTGAATGATACAATATTTATGACTGTGATTGAAGCAGAATAGAGACATGGTAGTGCCTTTGTCACCATCATTTAAACTTGGCGCACAAGACTCTACTAAAGCAAACGTGTCTCCTGACCTAGTATCGGTAACTGTTACCGATCTTTTCCACTGAGTAGCGCTGATGCAATGACACGCAAAATATGCCTTTTAAAAAGTTTGAAATATTTATGGTGCTAATGTTTAATTTAAATATTTTAGAAATATATTTCACTTGACTCATATATTTTTATTCTATTATTAAATTATTCTCGATACTTTATTTTTAACCAGTAAATTAATGCATAAATCTTACTTCAATGAAAAGGTTGAGTTGCAAAAATAGGATTTAGAATTGCAATTAAATGAATTTTTACATTATTTCTTTAAAATATCCACTTCCTGGCTATTCACTGTCGTGTGTCATTAAATCTTGAGTGGTATTGTGTTCATTTGTTTTAAATAATTTGAAACTATTCCATTTTCCACCAATGTAATAAAGTAATAAGCTATCGTTCTTTATAAAGTCGATCAAGGTGTTGTATCCAGTGTCGTCTTTTAGTGATTTCGTTAATCTTATTGGCAGAAGAATTATAAATTCATTATCCAGTGGTGCAATGACTGTGTCACCATGTCTTGATTTTATTCTTTTCAATCCTGTTACTTGATATTTTCCTGTAGTTTCTAATTCTGCCATTTTAAACTTCCCAGTGGGAAGTTACAGTAATGGGTCCGATTTTGTGAATCCCGAAATTCGACGTACAGTGGACGTCTGTGTGTGTGTATGTACGTATGTGTCTACGTTTATTCGGAATTTTCCTGATCGATTATCTCGAGAACAAAAAAAGCTTTTCGGAGAAATGACGTCATAAAAATAAACATTTTTTTATTTGTCTGGATTAGATAAACCACACTGAAAAATAATGATGTTGGGAACTTAACGGCCGGAAGTATAGATTTCTCTAACAAGTGATCACCATGGATCTCGTTATCGATGTATACGGATATCGTTTCTTCAATAGAAAAGTGATTGTGACAGAGTTAGCGAATAGTTAAAATCCAAAAAAATGTGTAAATATCATTTTCTATTCCAACCACCATGCGATTACCTATAGTATGGGACGTAGATGTTAGTATAAGATATTATCATGGACTTCCATAAGAAATTACGGTGATACACCGTATGAAACACTGGACAAATACTTCGAAAAGACATTGAACAACTTATGCTCCATTTTGGTACGCAATTATAATGTGGAATATTTTTTTAAATTATTGGTAAAGACAGATATTCTAATTATTAACTTAAAAAGAGAAGATTCTACAATTTATTACGATTTCATCAAAATCGAGTGTCCACATCACGACCAACACTACGAAGATATTATGAAGGAAGGAATAAATTTAGGATTTCCATATCTCTATCATCCTTGATTTGAATGTGCACTCATAAATGTAGAAAAACTAAACCTATGGGTTCTGGAGAACACTTTGATTCTTGATGATGATATCAGACCAATAAAAATTTACAGATTAACTAAGAATTTACTGAAGCTGAATCCAACAGACATAAAACTTTTAACGAAAGAATCCATTATTGGATAGGCTGCAAAGAATTTCGATGCATACGATAAACTGCCTGATGAATGGAAATCAGGTAAAGATTTTGAAATATATCGAGAATGTTACGAACATCATCTGCCAAAGGACGACCAAAAAAAAAGCCCTGTTCCATTTGTTAAGGATTGTAAAATGTGTAATAAAGAATGAAATATTTTTCTATTCGGAATCTAAATATTTCTCTATTTCGAGCTGCTTCTTCTCAACATCCTCGTCTGGCTGGTCCGTAAGGATGAGTCCATGCATGCATTACGTGTGTTTTCGGATGAATATTAAATTGAACAGATTTCTTATTCATTATAATAATTTTCTCAATTGTCCAAATATCAAGGATACGTTTTGTTTCGAACAATCAATGACAATCAAAGGTACTTTGCCGATGAATTGTTTTTTTGTGAGAAGAGGTTCTGAATCATTGCCATAATACGATTCTTGGAAATTTTTATACATATCATGTAATCAACCATATTGATTGTGAGCTTCGTCAAGATTCAAGTTACCACATGGATAACATTGTGAATTGAGAAAAAGTTTTACGTCTCCCAAATTACAATGATCGAATTGACTTGAATCTTTTGTCAAGTCATTTTTTCGTACTGCTTAAAATTCTAGGATAACATATCTCGGTTTTTGTATTGTGTTAGAGTCTTCACCATCCAGACGTTTTTTGTTGTTTTCGGTAACACTAGATATTGTAAGTTTTTTATGATCGATAACTCACTGTTATGGGCGGATCCCTTGCAATATAATGTAATAAATGTATTTTTCTTATATCTGACACTGTAATGTAAAAAATCATGCATTTAATTTTCGTCAATGTAATTTTTTCATTTGAACTTGCTGTAGCTTGTACTATCGCATTTAGATCGGTATTTGAACGTGTTAAAACAGGTTCATGCTTGGCATTGACAATAATGCGATGACAATCTTCAGTAAATCCCAATAGCATTTTCAATGGCAATAAAATGTCAAAGCATCCTTTGTTATTAATTAGCTTTCAATCATTTGGAATCCAGTCTGTATTATCTAAATAATTTTATTGACTCGGATAAAGTGATAGATATTTTTTAATAACACTTGTGAGACCAACATTTTTATTGTGATCAATCTCAATGCCATTTAATTTCTATCATATTTTTTTGAATAGGTAATATAATTCCATGTTCACTAATCTCGTTGTTGCAGCTACAGCAGTGCTATTAAATTTAGTGAATTTTCTAGTAATATGAAGAGAAGTCCTGCAAGGTAATAAGCACAAATCTTGATGTTGAACAGCAATCCGGATTTCATCGTTGTTGTTAAGTGAAGCTGATGCATGGGGTTGATGAGCATGTAATTTATAATGTGATATAGACTCATCAAAAACTCTTTCGCAGCCATGGCAATAAATATGCAGCAGTACACATTTTATTTGACTTTTTTTGTATACGTAGCTTCAGGCCCAAGCTCTTCAAAAACACAATATTTTGACGACTTGGTCGTATGAGTTTTCGTCGTTGACTGACAATTTTTCAGCATGGTAATTAAGTTTTGCAGCTTCTTCCAACAATTGTTTGATAAACAATACCCATTATTTCACGGATATCACATGTAAACGAATTGTTATTATTTCTCCACGAAAATTAACCAATTCTCCGTCTTGATCAACAATTTTTAATTGCATATGACGTATTGCTTGCACGACGATTAGCAGATAAATGACATTAGATAGCACTTCAATGATTTTATACCCTGGTGGAACTGATGAGAAAAATTAATGAATTGGATGCAATAATTTATTATTCATGTATGCTCCTGTTGTAATATTGCACTCGATTCTCAATGCATTTACTTTCCAATAGAATCATCTGGATTGAAATTTATTGTAGCGCTATCACTGTAAATCTTACTGCGTAATCCCTTGTTGTTAGGTTTAACGGAAATTGAAAATTTAGGATTAGCTTTCTTTAAATAATTTTTAATATCTTCAATTTTATAGCTTGTTGTTGGTATTTCCATAATTTTATCTCATTTATTTATATATAGTGAAATTTATTATTTCCATTATCAATATTCGGTATAGAGTAAAATGTTAATAGTCTAACCAACCCCAGTACATAATTTTTTGTCCTTGTTGATTCGATAGGTGAAAAATAATATGCCTCTAATATGGAGGACTGTCCAGACAGCGT